TACTTTCATGGAAGATTCTATCTAAACAAGGCAAAGGGTTATATTACAAAGAAACAGGTGAGCATAGCTTCACCAATGGGGCTGTAGCAAGACACACTCATGCATGAGACACTGATCCTCAAACCCAAGAAGGGTGGGGATATCCAGATGTAGAAGAACAAAATGTGACCTCTACCGCTCATCCTTCACAAAGTCAACTCACACTGGATCAAAGCCCTAGGAAATAGACCAGAAATTGCAACTGCTAAAATAAAATGTAGGTCCAACACAGTAACCTGTTGGCACAGGAAATAACTTTCTTAACTAGACTCCTAATGCACAAGAAATAAAACCAAAAAATCAATAAGTGGGTTAACATCAAATGAAAAAACTTCTGCACAGCAAAAAACAAGATCATGAAGAAAAAGCCTACAGAATTGGAGGAAATCTTTGCCACCTGCTCCTCAGATATATCCAGAATATATATATAGAACTCAAAAAACTTAACACCGATAAACCAAATAACCCAATTAACAAATAGTAAAAGGAACTAAACAAACAGTTCTCAAAACAAAAAATAATTGTGACCAACAAATAAATGAAAAAAAAATGTTTCAACATCTCTACCAATTAGGGAAATGCAAATCAAAACTACATTGAGATTTTCATCTCACACCAGTCAGAATGACAATTATCAAGAATACAAATAAGTGTTGGTGAGGATGGGGGAGATGAAAGGTATACACAAATTGTTGGTGGAATTGAAAATTAGTGCAACCACTTTGGAAAGCAGTAGGGAGATTTCTCAAAGAACTATGAATGAAACCACCATATGACCCAGCAATCTCACTCCTCAGTATATATCCAAAAGATCTACAATCAACATACTATAAGGATGTAGCCACATCCATATTTATAGCAGCACAATTTACAATAACTAAGCCATGGAACCACCCTAGTTTCCCATCAACAGATGAATGGACTAAGAAAATGTAGTATATATACACAGTGGAGTTTTTACTCAGTCAAAAAATGAAATTATGGCATTTGCTGGTAAATAGAACTAGACACTATCATGCTAAGTGAAATAAGCAAAACTCAGAAAATTAAGGTTGAATGCTTTCTCTAATTTGCAGAATCTAGTCAAAAATGAGGGGTAAAAGAGATGGAAAGAAAGGGAAAAGGGTGCAGGATTCCATCAAAATAAAAGAAAATTGGTGAACTAGATGGAGGGAATTGTGTGTAAGGGAGAAGGGACCAGATAAGAAAAGAACAGCAGAATAAATCTGACCTAACTTTCTTATGTGTGTGTGTGTGTGTGTGGTGTGTGTGTGTATATATATATCACAGTGAATCTCACCATCATGTACATCCACAAAACACTAACAAAAAAAAATCCTTAAACTAAATAACAGAAATATCAATAGAGTATAGGAAGGGATTGGGGGGAGGGGGAAGGAGAGTACTGGGGACTGAATTAGAGCAAATTATATTCCATGCTTTTGTACATATTACAAATTAATTCTAAAGTTATGTATAACTAAATAAATCTTAATGATATGTAAAACTAAAAAGAGTGAATAAAAAGAAAAAAAATTTTAAAAGAAATTGAATTATACCAGCGGAAACACTATCAACTTGGAATTAAAGGACAGAAGTAGGTCAAAATGAAGGAAGACTATCAGACATCTGGGATTCTCCAGCATAGGGGAAACAGAGCTATTTGACTGTAAATATGTGCTATCATTCAAGAAAAACTAAGAGTGAACTCCGAAAATTATTCACAGAGTAGCAGAACTGTTCCTCCCACCCTAGTCCCAAAGTGCATAGACCGGCTGGCCAAAGGCTGTCCTGGTATTCACAGAGGGTGACCACATCTAGATTTAGATTTAGACAGGCCAGGCTGCTGAGGCTCAGACACTCAGGAATAAGACACTGCCCAGGGATGAGGAGGCAGCACTGCAGCCTTGTTGCCTGGAGCCCAGAGCATCAAGTTAAAGAGAATTATTCTTGAACCTTAGAATCAAATCAAATTTGTCTTGTTACCTTTTAGAATTGTCTGAGCACTACCATCCCCTTTTTCCTTATAGTTTCTCCATTGATATAGCAATGTCTATCCTGTGCTAGTTCCACTTTTGAATTTTGGAAGCACATAATCTGTTTGCTTTCACAGATTAACAATAAGAAGAAATTTTGTCTCAGGATAATCATAACTTGAGTCTCACCCATTCATAATTTAACCAGTACTTAGATAAGACTTTGGACTTAAAGTTGATACTAAAAAGAATTAAGTGATAGCAATTCTATATTAAAAGCATTATTTATGGTGACATGAAGACTGTATTTTGAACCATTACTTAAAAGAGTTAATGAATTTCCAATCTCTCCCTTCTTTTATGCTGAATGTCAGAATCCATTTCCCTCCCCCCATTATTCCCTCTTTTCCAGAAATCTGTTGGGGCAGTTCTTAGATTACAATAATTGTATTTCTTTTATCACACAGGGATGCTCTACCAGTGAACTAAACCCCAATAATTTTTACTTTTTCTTTTAAGCCCTGGTCTCACTGAATTGTGGAATATGGCCTTAGTACTTCTGCCTAAGCTTCCAAAGTCACTGGGATTATAAGTGCATCCCACTGATCCCAGTTAGAAAATGAATTTTAACTTCATGAATGTTTATATAGATATACACATTTCTGCATACACATTTTATAAAACATATATTCACTAACAAAAAAAAACTTTTAAGAAATCATCAAAATAATTTTATACATTTAGTAGCATTGGTGATAGGAAGTAGGTGAATGACCTTAACATGTTTTGCAAAGCTCATTATGAGTAGAAATGAAGGATGTCATCACTGCCTGGAATTTTAATTACACTCCCTCTCCATTTTGGATAGCTTTATTTGTATTTGTTTGCTTAGTACAATTGATTGTTTCCTAGAAGAAACAGAGGCACAAGTCTCTGCAATTCTTCTCTCCAGAGATCTATCTCCCTTTCCAATATAGCAATTGGAAATTGCCTGGGAAGAACAGCTCCAGAGATGGTGACTGAATAAACAAGCTAAACAACATCTACCTGAGGATGGTTTGAGCGAAGAGATTGCAGGAGAGAGTTGGTGCTAACAAGTTGCCTCACAGGGTGCCTCCACTACCTCTCCTGGAACTGTGTTCATGGACGACCTTTCCATCAAAACCATAGGCGCCTCTACGGCTAGGTCATCATTCTTCCTGGAAGGTAGGGCTTTCTTTTCTTTCTTTCTTTCTTTTTTTTTTTTTTTTTTTTTTTTGTAGTTGTAGATGGGAAGAATGCCCTTATTTTATTTGTTTATTTTTATTTGGTGCTGAGGATTGAACACAGTGCCTCATGCATGCTAGGCAAGCACTCTACCACAGGGCTACAACACCAGCCCTGAAGGTAGGATTTCTTTTAATGTTATGGGAAAAAATAAAGGGAATTTTATCTTATTTAGCAAACATAATCATTTACTATTCTTTTAGCCATAAAAATTGACTAATGTCTTCTCTTTCTCAGACAAAAATCCGCTTATCCTCATCTTTATTAGCAGAATGTGAAAGGGGGAGGAAGGAGTTTCATAGTGGTGTGTTCCTGGAAAATATCTACTCAGGGACACATAAATAAATATACAAGGAACAAAGTGAGACTATATAGAGTTATACAAATAAAATGTGACCACTCATCTATTTGTTCTTCCAGTAGACATCAAAAACTTCAACACAGCATAGTTCTAGTTATCCAACAGTAGGAAAGACTATGCCAATGAAATCAAGGTCACTTCAGGTACATTAAAGCATTCAGGATTTTTATTTTACTACCACAATACTTGGCCAAATAGAGAGATGCTAAACAATGTGATCAATGTCAATTTTCTTCTTGTTGTTATAATTCTGGAAGAAGAACTAATTACTCAAAATATGTAATAGTTTCATCTTATCCAAATTTAAGTATGTAATTACTACCATGGATGCCAAAGAAAATTAGGCACATATTCTTCTTAAACTGGTCTATATAATTACCTGAATCTGGGCATAATGGCCAAAGGTTCTTGGATGTATTTGTTTTCTAATTAGGTTGTTTGAAAGCAACCAGAAAATTTCACTAGTGAAGTTTTTTTAAAGGAATCTTTTTATATTTAACTCTCATAGTTAATCAATGCTGTAGTCTTTTTGGAGACTAAACTTGACCAATCAGAAGTAGATTTTCATAACCACAATTCTTAATCTTTGCAATTTAATAGTTTGAATTATACAGTCTATATAATTTACTATAAAAGGTGGTTGACTTTGTGTACTTTTACAATAAAAGCATCTTAAAGCTTGTGGGCCTAAGAATCATCAAGGGTAATGGTTGCTTATTAAAAACTATGAATTAGGTTTTTCTAGAGAGCAATATTTGTAAATCAGACCAATATCTCCAATAGAGAAATACAGAAGTTATCCTTAGTTTTACTGCTGGTTGCTTCTACCTTTAGTAATTGCTTGCTTCACAGAAAAGCAATGAATATGAACGATAGTCATATCTAACAATTCCTGCTTAATATTATAATTAATCTTACTGTATCTCAACTAGATTTATGTTCTCTAAGTCTGATCTAGTCTATGTATTTTTCAATTTATGTATCTGTGTTATCTATTGTATAATTATCATGTATCTATGCATGTAGAAATCATTTTATTTTCAACTTCTTTGCTTTTTCACAGTTTCCACGTTGATGGCCTATGTGTTTTATTTTCAGATAGTTCACGTATATCTCAAATCTGTTTTGCTATATGACCCTAATGTCTATTCTACCTTGTATTTAGCATGTTAATTATATGCATTTGTCTCTTGTTCTATATAAAAACACAATTTCTTATTTGTGCATATTACTTCTCTGTGTATAATTCCAGTATTGAAATGCTCATTATTTTTCTATTGGTTATAGTATAGGATTTTTTTCTTCCCACAGGAATAAAATACAAATTATCAAGAAAGATGAGTCTCAATTGAGGAACAATGAAGGGGTTCAATTTTAGCAACCCAGCAGGCTTTATCTTACTGGGATTCTCTGACCAGCCACAGTTGGAGATGGTTCTTTTTCTAGTCATCTCTGTTATCTACATTTTGACACTGCTGGGGAACACAGCAATCATACTTGTTTCATACTTGAATCCCAAACTCCACACCCCCATGTATTTCTTCCTCTCCAATCTCTCCTTCCTGGACCTCTGTTTTACTACCAGTATTGTCCCCCAGATGCTTTGGAATCTCAAGGGCCCTGAGAAGACCATCAGTTACACTGGTTGTGTGATCCAGTTATACATTGCTCTGGGATTGGGCTCCACAGAGTGTGTCCTCCTGACTGTTATGGCCTATGACCGTTTCAATGCTATCTGTCGACCACTCCACTATGGTGTTATCATGTACCCAAAGCTTCTCCAGCAACTAGCAGCTGTGGCCTGGACCAGTGGTTTTGTGGAGTCCACAGTTCAGACCACCCTTGTTTTCCAGCTGCCTCTCTGCAGCCACCACAGAGTGGATGATTTTATGTGTGAGGTGCCTGCCCTGATTAAAATTGCTTGTATGGACACAACCTTCTTGGAAAATGAGCTCTCCATAGCTACTGTCCTCTATGTGGTTATACCTCTGGGGCTTATCCTGGTCTCCTATGGCTGCATTGTTAGGAGTATGCTGAGGATAAAATCCACTGAAGGCAGGAAGAAAGCTTTTGGGACCTGTGGATCTCACCTGATTGTTGTGGTTTTGTTCTTTGGGACTATAATTTCTGTGTATATACAACCCAAGAGCAAGTACACACAGAATCACAGAAAATTCCTCACCCTTTTCTATACTGTGGTGACACCCTTACTTAATCCTTTGATCTATACCTTGAGAAACAAAGAATTTAAGTGGGCAATAAAAAGGTTGCTGGCAAGAGACCCAAGTTAGGGAGAAATGCAAAACACACCCAAGCATTCTCTCAGACTTTGGGGATTTGTAGGTTTTATCTAATTATAGTTTCTTTTTTCATCTACAAGGAGCATAACTAAATATTCTAGGTGGGGAATTTTCCTTAATGACATCCTGACCTTAGCTACTTTAAGTCCTTCTTATCCTCCTTTCAAGAAATGTATGCATCTTCTTTTTGCAGTACTTCATATAAAAGTTTTATGAATAAATAAATATTTGTAGGTGAACCAATGTGTATGGAATGTGTATGTGTAAATAAATCTTAGTGTCACTACTCTAATGACCAACAACATGACTGACATGGTGATGACAAATACATTTATTTATCATAAAAGGAAATCCTACACCTTGTGAAGGTAGGATTTGGATAATAACTTCAGAAGTTTAAATTTATCTGAGAATGATTCCTGTTCCTTTTTAGGGCTCACATTTGATAGTATTATAGGCAGTGGATGTCTGTAGTTTATTTAAAAGTGAGAAGGCCTAATAGAAAACATCATTATCTAACAATTTGCCTTATGGGGGATATTTTATTCTTTTTCTTTGAGCAGGGGCATCTGGGATTATGTACAACCAGAAATTTTTCTGCTCTTTCTCACTCACAGAGGAAGCTTCAGAGATGAGACAGAAGATTTAATATTGATAGACAGGGAAGTATTGATAAGTTAACTTAGGTCACTCTCTTATGCATATTTTATCAGCATAAAATGACAGTCAGACTCTTTAATAAATATTTTAGATCTAAATCTGTACTCTAAGACAATGCAAAAACAATTTTAAGTATTATTACTAAGTCTGAATATTTAAGTTTCACAAACGTAAATGTAGCTTTACAATAATGTTTGCCTTTGTCATTTATATACCATTTTTTATATTATAAATTTGTAGAATTTATGAGATGGTTTATCTTCATATTTAATAAAAAGATTTTATCTGTTCTATCTAATGAGATACTTAAAATTTGATAATTAAAAAAATTAACAATCTGCCTTGTTTTCCAAATAGTCACAATATTTTACTTACAAAATATTATGATTCTTATGAACTTTAGATACTTGCAACATGTTATCATTGGATGTCACTTCATTAAATAAAATAAAAGTTTTAACAGAGATTGATTCTGAAGAATCTTTTAAATACATATAAATAATTCTAGGTGAATATAGTAAATAGTAAGTGGATGGTAAAAAAAAATTGCAAAAAGAAAAACATGATGTGCAGTCAGAAAAGATTGATAAGGTAACTAAGGAAGTACTTCTGTAAACCTTGCATTTCTCTGTTCATAAAATGTAATTTGACATTCATAATTATAACTACTCATATTCAAATTAAATTTTTATTGGTGGATTAGGATAACCAAATGCTTAATGAGCAGTATAATTACCTAAACAATTCAAAATCTCATAACTTCAAACAATAAATATGAAAACCAAAGTTATATTCCAATACCCAGAAAAATGTAAAAACTCTTAATATTTTCTATGTATTCATTATATTTTAACCAAACATTTTACCTAACATTTTTTCAGCCTCAATTGGCTTTTTTATACCTGTTATACCATAAATTAAATGAGACTAGTTTCTAGCAGCTCAGTCTCCTTCCCACTGGATTTCCAAAGTGTGCCTCTCTGGACAGGGTGGGCTGATGCTGCAGTTGAACACAGGGAACTTTTTCTTGGTTTCCCTCTTTTTCTGATCATTTTCCTTCACACATTTCAGGAAATTACCTTGACTTAGAGGGCTTAATATGCTCAACAATCATATTATTTCTCTAAGCAATAATCTTGCCCTTAACTTGTTTGTTTACAACAGCACCAACAGTGTGCTAGGTAACACTGTAGCAGTCCCTTCTGAACAATACACATTCACTTGCCATCTACAATAAAACCCTTCTTGTAAATTCACATATATGTAGCCAAAGGAACAGTTCCATGATTTATAAAAGGTCTAGAGAACATATATCAAGTGCCTCTCTTTCCCCCTGTGATTGTCATTTTGGTGAAATACTGGAAGGTGGTGGGTCCTTTAGTTAACCTTTTATTGCAACATAGAATTCATATTATACACTTGTACTCCAGTGACTTGGGAGGTTGAGACAGGAGGATGGCAAGTTTGAGGCCAGCCTCTGAAAGTTAGTGAAATGCTGGCTCAAAACTTAAGAGGGTGGGGACTATGTAGAACCACAGCCTCTGAGACTGGAGTCTCTGTGTTTCTCCTTTGCTAGCAAAACAATAAACCTTTTTCCTTTTTCTCAAAACTGTGTCCTCATTATTAAATTGCTATCAGGGATGATAATCAAACTTTCAGTAACAAATTTGACACATCAGATGGGGCCTGAGAGCTGCCTCCACTTTGGCTTTCTTGGGCAGACCTGGCTATCCAAGAAATCCCACTTCCAAACAGGTTGAGAGCTGACTGTCTGTGAGTTAGGAGACTGGGTGAGTTTGCCTCAGGTTGAACAAGAGGAGCTATTCCTGTGAATAAAGGGAGGAACTGGGGAACTATCCCAGCAGCTGCCACAGCTCTTTTTACTTTGGGGAACTCTAGCCTTTTCTCCCTAAAAGGTACAGGTTGCTCTCTCTTGGTCTACTTTGAGAAAAAGGAAACTGACTTAGTGAAGTCCAGACACGCTTAGCCACCAGGAAAGTTCCCCAGTGTGCACACTCAGACTCCTGATTCCATGCATCTGGCTCCTCTTTGTTGGAACATCTGGTCCCTCCTTGTGGAGACATCTGTGGTTCCACTGGTGTAGCAGTCATAGTTGAGCAGGACTCAAGAACCTAGGTATTTTTACACCCTTCAGGTCTGTTCTGGGTTCTCATCTGTTTGCTGACCTTGGGTTTGGGAATTCTCTCTAGTGTCTATATATGTTTTTGTTTGTGTCTGTTGCTGTCCCTTTTATGATATGGGCAATACTGTGTTGATCCTATAGATAGCCCCTTGGGAAAGATCTTGGCTGCTCTCTCTGTTTTAAAGATTCCCATTTGTTGGCCATGGTTTTTGAGATCCTTTCTGGTTGTGTGTTTCCTTTTGTACAATCTGGCACTTGGAGTTGAGCTCTCAAAGGTAAAGTAAGCAGAAGAAATTTGTTTATGCAGGTCTCTCTATTTAACCACATTTCTGTCAACCATGGCTTCAGTGATCCTCTTTCTGTCTCTGGTTTTTGTATCAGTTATTGGCCTTTTAAGACATGGGCCATGCTGCATTGATCTTACTGGTAGGTAGTCTCTTGAGAAGAGAGATCTTGGCTGAATAGGCCACCTATTGGGTATAACTGTTACCATCTAAGGGTTCTGGGTTTATTGTCCCCATTTACCAAAGAATTGAAGACCAGGACACAGAGATAGCAAGCAAGAAATAGATTTATTGCAAAAGCGACAGAGATACAGATATAGAAGCCTCCAAAGAGAAGAGACTCCAGAGCTTGAGATCCAATTGGTGAGTTGGGGGCTTATTCTTTTTATGGTCTATGGAATTTCCTCATTTCCTTATCTTCTCCCCTGTCCACACTCTTCTCACTATTATTGATTGGGTGCCTCCTCTGTCCACATATCTGTTTTAGCTTTTATATTGGATCCCCAGTTGAGGAACATGAGTACAAAAAGTATCTGTCTGATTAGGTCCCCTGCTTGTGTCCACCAGCACTTTCCTAAAGCAGGAAGTTGACCTCATCAGAAGACCCTCTCCATGCACCTTTGTTCTGGCCCTGCCTCCAACCTCCTCACTCACCACCTTGCCCTGGCTCCCTAAGCCCTCCTATCTCTTCCTCATACTCCTAAGAGAAAGATGTGGCTTTGAATGATTTTCTGGATTATTATACAATCTTACATTTGGACTTGGTCTACCAGAGGTAAAGTATATGGAAGAGATTCTCCATGTATAGGCATTTGTGAAGTTGCATGATAAGGAGTCTTAAGGCATTAAGTTGAAGGCACAAAAAGGCACTGCCTCTGGTGTGCAAGGACAAAAGGACACCAGCCCAGGGCTGGGAAAAAAATCCCAGGAAAGCTGCCTGACCTGAAAAAAAGTTGGCAGAGGGCAAAGAGAACCTGGCCTCTACCCTTTCAACCCCTTTTGCACACAGGAGGGTGGAGGCTACTGACCACAAAGGACATGGCAGTAAGTTCCAGCACTGTTAGTTTATGACTTGGGGACAGAAATAGTCTCCACTTTTAAGATCTGACAGGACCCTGCATTTGGCCAGGGAATATCTGTCATTGGAGGAGAGCAATTCTGGTTATGACAGTATCCCATCAAACTAAATGCATGTGGGTCCTGGCAGGATGAACAACTACATCAAAAAAAAAAAAAAAGAATAAAACAGAAACTACAGTCAACCCCTGTTTTGATGGCAGTCTCTGCCAACAGATATAAATAAATACATACATATTTACATATAAATAAAAAAGTGCTCTGTCTTATATCTGTTGGCCTTGACTAAGTCTATTTCTGTTTGGTAACACTGTTTTCTAAATGTACAAGAGATTCAAGGTTATTCCTTGATTTTTGCTAATACTGCTCACCCATGTATACCTGTGATTATGGTTACCATACCCTATGGATTCTACATTTTACTTAAAAAGTTAAACTTAGTTAAATGTAAAGCTTAATAGAACACTTTTCCAAGTTGGTGTTTTTCAATATAAAATTGTCTGTAGCAATAGTCTCCTTCAAATTTATATAGCAATAACAAATGTGGCTGCTAATTTTTTTTCTCTTTCTTTTTTCTTTTCTTTTTTTTTTGGGTCATTTAAGGTTTTTTAACAAAATAAAGAAAACCTGTTATCAATAAGTTATATATAAAACTTGTGTTGCTGTTTGCACTGGGATGAAAATTTAAATGTATTTTTGGAAGATAATAAGTAGAGCCTGATTTGTTCAAAGGTTGACAATGGGGAACATGAAAACATTCTGCCACCTTTTCCACAAAAGGGAAGTTAAGAGCTCTCCTAACCTCTCTGGTTATTTCAGATATAATG